TCGATAGGGAGAAGAGCTAGTCTCGTAACTCGCATTGAGTCCTGCTCGGTTCGGTTCGGAATAAGGTATCTCCGAATTGGCTCCGAAGATACCATCGAGGCACGTGACCTCTGGGCCTAGCCCGTTACAGTTATATTAATCTACAGCCTGTTCTTGTCAGATAATTGGGTCCTTTGCATGTCATGTAGATTAAGGGTGCTGACTCGATACTCATTACTCTGCCAAAAACAGACCCCATCTACCCCGCAGTTAGATGATGAACGACAACAGACAGAACACACAACAATCAACCAACAACCACACTTATCAATTGTACAATTATTGAAACCTTGTGACATTTCATCTTAACGATACTGGAACCTGCAGTATCTGACAGTTCTATAGAACATTCACCCCTAGAACCTTTACTAAGCCTCTCCTGCTTGCCCGTTACAGCTTGTATATAACCTCAAACGACTTAGTACGTAACGACTAACCACTCATATAGTCCCTACCTGCCCAGCCTACGGCCTACTGGCAGTATGTACGGCTAGTAGTACTGACGATCGAACGCCTTGAGGGTAGGTGACTCAAATGCATACGCCCCAGCACGGGGCTTCGGCCAAGTGCTATTTGTTTCCATTTCACTCAGGGGGCTCATTCTAGGAAGAGGCCCTGAGGACTAAGGTGTATCTTTGCATTGACTTTGTCGCAAACCTACCTTGGCCCATGTCCGTACCTTATATAGTAATTGAGCTGAAGACCGGTTTTGATTTCGCACTGCCTGCACCGACGAGGAACAGCCTTCCAGCCTAGTACTTGCACAGAGCACGGATCGCACCGCCTCTCCGTTGGCACCGACCATTTGTAAGAGGCATTCTTTTGCGCTTATCAGCGTATGACGAGCAAGCATTGGGTATCATGCGTATTGTCGTGACGACAACAATCAGCCATTCCATCCGGAGGCACCGACATCCGGGCCTTCCTCACAATGCAACATCAATATCCCTTCCCACTTCTCCGCAATGTGTCTAGAATGCCATCAAACGTACATGTATGATAGCATTCTCTTTGCGGAAGACCTCGGAAAGATTCGCTATGTAGATCACCGGACATCCGGGAGTGACCTCGTATGGATATATGACAAACGATGCAACGTTGACCGTGTCTGTGATGTCTCGATAATCATACTCTTCATGAGACCCCGATGACCAGACTTCCAATGTATAGAACGTAGCAGGGCTGAAGGGGACAGTATCTATGCTCATGGATTAATAGGAGCGAGCAAGTAGTACTGCTTACCCGTCGGAGATAGAGCATGGGGATGTTTTGTATTGAGCCTGTGTTCGTGGCTCCCGGAATGGTAGATTGTTGTACCACTCCAAGCACCCTGGGGCACAGAAGATCTCATCCCGATGTTCGACGATGTCACAATGGCGTGCGTCTGTTGACTATGCAACGTTCAGCGTTGTTCCAGTCAAAATAGCACATCTTCAATTTCTCAGTATCTCGACCTTGCTGTTGCACGGATGATACGGTTCCGAGTCCGTAGATTTTCGTACATCCAAGGGAGATAAGATGCCGTCGTTGTCTTCTGAATCCGGCAGCAACAAGCTATGTCCTACCTTCGTAGGAACCTGTACATCTCGAGGAGATAAGATGCCGTCACGGTCTATTGAAGTCGCCAGTAGCAGATTACTGTTGGTAGTACTTAATTCCAGTCTTGAAGATTCGAGATAAGGTCCCGACAATCCGCTGTGAATACACCACGACCTGGTAAAGCTTCAAACACAGAGGTACCATCGTGAGATGGAACACATGAAGATGGTAAGGCTGGACAAGTGTAAACATGTCCTGGTATGAACGGGCGATGGTCTCACCACATACGAAGCCATGGTACGGTTTCGCCTCGAGTATTGCCCCATGTCCAAGATTCAGCTCATCTGGCTCGGAGGATGGAGTATTTTGCAACGTGGCCAACATGGCAAGATCGAAGCATCACACGATGGTAAAGCGAGTCATAGGTAGGCTCGTGATGGCGCTAAGAGGCTCAGGTGACGGCAGCCGGTGCGTATTCCCCAGCACAAGGGGGAGCGGTGATCACGATGTCAGATTTCCGATGCGGCCGACGTCCAATCAGAACGGCAATGTAATGCAGCGCTCCTACCAAGCTAGAGGCCGGGCGCCACCGTTTCTTGGCTGGACTAAGCGGAGACACGGGGCCTGGTCTTGAAAGAAAAATTGCTGCATCGCTAGCACCGTGTTGTTGTCGCGGAGATGAGAGCTGGTAGCGCGTGCTGGTGGTCGGTGCTGCAGGGCCTGGATGTCGCGAGGGCCCGTTCCCGTCCTCGAGTGTTTTGCGGGGTAGCGCATTTTCCTTAGTGATGGAAATCCGGAGAAAGCCAACTCAGAATGCTTGGACATCACCGGCATCCGAGATGTTGGGAACACAGACGTCGGCACATTCTTACACCCGCAGCATGCCGAGAGTGATACGGGCACGCAATTGATTGCAGTATGATGTCAGGTAAGCGGCGGATTACGACTGTTGCTGGTGCTCGCACGCCCTCGTACGAAGGTGCTGTTGCGAGGGTGACTGCCGTCAGGTCATGGTCCGGTCGCATCGCGAGGACAAGTTTCTGCCATGTTCGTGGAGCCACAAGGCCGGTAGACTATTCTCGAGCTCCGTTCGCAGCTAGAGTAGCGTCCGCGGTCTCAGTCCGTGGCGCGCCAGGATCGGGACGAGTGATGGTGAAGGCGGGGAAGCATTGCTTAACGTAACAGAAAGTGAGGGCACTTGGAATCGGTGAAGCTTCATCAATCGTTAGGTGCATG